TCAACAACACTCTCCATATATCGTCCTCTCTCAAGGAGGGAAAGCGCATATAGGTTGCGGCGTTTTGAGACTCCCTTCCTTCAAACCGCACTCTCAATATACATCTTCGTATAACAAGTCTTCTATTTCTCACCTCAAGAGGTCGGAGATATGATAGCATCAATCCCGCCCTTCCCTGGATCTGTCCAATACAATAAGATACACAAGTCGATCAGAACCCGCCCTCCTTCTAGTTTATCTCTCCTGACATCACCAGCTCCTGGGCATGCTTTTAACCTGTCTGCTTCTCGAGCGCCGCCCGGGCTCCACGCTGCCAGCTGGGCGGCGGGAGCCGGCGCCGAGGCGCGCGGCTCCTCCTTTACTAGGTCATTAAAATACTTGGGAAAGCCCCAAAGTGGGGCCGCGTGGAAATGGCCCTTGGGGGAGCTTGGGGGGGGGACGGGGGCTGGGGGGGTAAGGGAGAGTGATGGCCCCCCAATTTCTGAGACCGGCCCCCCTGCCAAGTTAGCCCCTGGGCTTGGGGAGGCAGTGGCGTTCCCGGGGAGGGGGGCGCCTCCTGGGCGCCCAGCGACGCGGAAGGCGCGCCACGGAAACCTGCAAACTTCAAATCGACGGAGCTAAATTGGGGAGTGGGCGACGGGAGTCAGGCGTGGGGGGAAGGGAAGCTTCCATTGTCAGTGACCCAGGTGTACAATGGGAAATTGCGGGGAGGCTGGCAGAGTGACCCCGCTATTGGCTGCTGACTCCTTTTTACCCAGGCCGAGAACCCCGAGGACACCGCGAGCCCCTCATTAGAGACTCTGAAGACCCAAAACCAGCGCAATAGGGAGGACTCCCCCATTTTCATGAATGTTTTTTTAGAGCGCGGTTCTCTTTAAATGTGATAGAACACCGTCGGCACTGTCTCTTTAAAAGAGTCAAGCAGAAAAAGCTGTGTAAGCGCTGATTGGCTGCCTGTTTGGATACATCTTTAGGGGAGCCTTGAAACTGTTAGCCTAGGTTGATTTTTTTTTTTTTAACTGCGCTGTTCCAATAAACAAGTAACGCCCCTCCCCCTAACATGCCTAGCTCCAAACAATTAAAGGATAGGTCAGTGTCCTGGGGAAAACACGTTCGGAGTAGAAAGACTCAGAACTAGATTCCAACAAAATAAAGGATAATTCCCTACCATTCAAGTTTGCTCATTTTGATCTGTAGAAGGGAGAAAAGGGGCTTTTATAAGAAATGCCCCGCAGCAAACTGATCTGCATTGGTTCAGGAAGGAGACGCTGGGTGCATTTTTGGAAGAATGTTCTACTCCATGGAACAGCCTCCCCGAATTAGAATACAGCCAAGCCCTAGGGAGCCTGGGAGGCACTCTGTTCTCCGCCGGAACCGAGCTCTCAGGAGAAGGGGACAGAAAGAGGGACACACTGAACCTCAGTCCATGGTGGACTCTGCTGAGCCCCTCGTCTAAAGGTGGTTTTGTGAATGGGAGAGGCCTGGAGTTGGGGAGGGAATTGAAACACAAGGATGGGGGAGAGAAGGAAATAATTACAGTTATTTTTTCCCCTAGGCAGTTTAATTTAATGGGACTAACTTCAGGTACCTTAGAGCCCACACTAATTAGATTGGCCTGCTCATACCTTTCCCCTGGACTAGGGGCTAGGAAAGGCCAGGGATGCTTGTCAACAGACTTGACTCACAAGAAGCCTGACTCATCCCGGGTCTGCAAGGCACACGCCGTGGGAGGATTGGTTAGGTCCTGGCTAAAGGAAAACAGGCCCTTCTCGGCCCTTCTAATCGCGGCCATGCCCTGGCAGTGTCAGGGCTGCAGCACAGGGGTATCTGGGCATCATGTTCCTCACCTGTCAAATGGGGAGGGGGGGGGGGGTAAGAAATCTTTCCTCTCTCTTGAGACTCGGATGTTCTCTGATGCTGATTTCCCTTCTGTAGTTTTCTTTCCCCACCCCACCTTGGAGAAAAAGGGACTAACACCTCCTCGCAGAGCTTGTGTGGCCAGAAGAGAGGGATGACTTTTGGGGAACCTGTGCCAGGCACTCTGTCCCTTCGCTGGGGCCTGACCTGGTGGAGCTAACAGAGACGGTGGGAGGGCCCTGGCAGAGAGACCGGGGAGCCCCAGCCGGCTGGACAGAAGGGAGCTGAGGGTTCCCGGGGGCAGGACCACTCAGCAGCCCAACTAAGCGTGCAGCCACTGGCACTGGGATCCAAAATGCAGTCACATAAGAAGCAAACCCAACACCCAGGAGCAGCACTCAAACCCCCACCCTCTTGCCCCACACTACCCCTGGCTCCCACCTCCCTGGACCACATCCTTGGGCCTGGTTTCTCTCCCACCTCAACCCCTTTCTTTTTTATTATTATTTTTTTAAATATATTTTTATTGATTTCAGAGAGGAAGGGAGAGGGAGAGCGAGATGGAAGCGTCAATGATGGAAGAGAACCACTGATGGGCTGCCTCCTGCACGTCCCCCACTGGGGATGGAGCCGCAGCCTGGGCATGTGCCCTGACCGGGAACTGAACCGTGACCTCCTGGTTCATAGGTCGATGCTCAACCACTGAGCCTCACCGGCCAGGCCCACCCCCTTCTTTTACCATTCCATTCCCTAAGGCTGACATCCCCGCCAATGCCATCTCCCCCACAACCCCAGGAACGCCCCCTCCGTCCCTGCTTTTCACTTCTGGAGCAACAGCCATCCCTTTCTCCCTCTGCTCGGTCTCATTTTGTTTGAAGCTACATGGTAGCTCCGAGTTCATTCTGCCTATTGTTGTAGCCACTTGTTTACTGTCTGTCTCCACCAGCCAGACTGGGGGGAGGGGGAAGGAACTAATTCTGAGTCATCTGTGTGTCTCCAGCACCGGTTTAATACCTGTGTGCATGTTAACATCCGACGGAGGCACCAGGAGCTATAGGGACCATAAGAGGAAAAATGGCCCCAATCCTCACAGTAGCTCTGGGCCCCGGGGGGATATAAGAAATGGACACCACCAGTAATAGGGTTAGATAAGGCCACTGGCCCCAGCCCCACCCACCTAAGCTACTGGCCACCTAGAAGTACTGAACTTTTCCTTTCCCAGAATGCACCGAGGGACCTCACACACCCAACCCAGACTCATTCTTTTTTTTTTTTTTTTT